TAATATCCTCAAACTGTGCTGCAAGATTTCAAGTTTTCTGAAAAACAGTATTTCCCAAACTGTAAATTCCTATGTTATAAAAAAAGGTGCATGACCAAAGTCTTTTATGCAATTTATGCAGCTTGCTGATGAATCCATTTATTCTTACTCTTTTAAGTATTTTTACTGTATTTTTAAAGTATTTTTAAGTATTTTTAAGTGTATTTATTGTATTTAAGTATTTGTACTGTATCGTCCTTGCATTATACCATCTGTCTGCCTGACACCCTCTTTATCTGAGACAAAAACCTCTTCAAAGCATGGAACGTCTTTTTTATCGAGCATGGTAAAGAACAGAGCAAATTAATAGCCCTGAAGTGGTTGTTTGTGTAGTGTAGTTTAAAAAATCCTCCCAACCTTCTAACTAAGATCACAACCATCTGCTTCTTGTTTTAGGCAAGCATTTATTGAAATGAAATGATGACCCAATGGAAGAATTTTTGTGTCCTCCTGCACAATCATCTGCTTAAAAATTGGTAAGTGTGAGTTCTTGCAGAACCAAGGCCCCAGTGGCCATCTAATGTCTGTAAAGTAAATCAACTTCAGAGAGGAAAAAAGTGGGGGTTTGAACAATTAACTCTTCTGATTTGAGCACAATGCTTCTTTAAAGGACAAAACTCTATGCAGACTATTGCACTCAATTGAATTAAATTAAAATTATTCTTATTGCCATCATAGAAAAGGATTCCTGGGAGATTAGGATATATGTCAGTAGAAACCACAATGATATTCCCATTGCAAATACCAAAGGAAAGGGCCAGCCAGTGTTTAGAGACTATCTTTTTAGASACTATCTACACAAAAAGTATAAAGGATATTACAGATATTACAGCACAATCCAATGTCATAAATTACATGATCCCACTGTATCAAAATTTTTGATGATGTTCTCAAAGCCATCTGATTATATTAAAACCTTAATTWGTAGCAACTCTGACTGCTAGAGTGAGTCTGCAAATTTTCACCCCGGAGGCTCAAACACTAGGTGGGAAACCCACATAGCTGACAAATTAAAATACTGATCTTGTCATTTTTAAGTCAATTTCATGTGCTTGAGACAAGCTCTGATCCTTGGAAGTTGAAGAGATTATGAATGTAAGAGTTGAATTCTGAAGTCCTGGCATTCAAACTTCACGTTTTGTCTCACTAAGGAATTTAGGATGTGYTGCAAAGAAAAGCAAATGGTAGGCAGTGAGTATCAAAATTCTCTTTTATTGGTGGTGTAGTAAAGAACAGAGTGATTTATTAGCCCTAAAGTGGTTTTTTGTGTACYGTGCTTTAAAAAAATCCTTAAGATATTTTAACTTCTTCTATGGGAAATAATTCCAAGTGCTAAAAAATAATTGTATTTACTAAACTTTTCTGACCTAACATGCACTTTTAAAGAGGACATTATGAGCAGTAAACGATACAATGTTTGTTGTGCCACAAAATGTTGTATGTTGTTAAAAAAGACACAACTGAACATCCAGGAGGTCATTCAAGATCTTGTGTACTTTTTTACTTTTCTCTTTGCTTGAACTATGAAAACAAAACACCAAGTTTCCCTTTTAATATTTGGTAACTATTATAWTGGCTCTTGTTGACACCATGACATAAGAAGTTTAGCACAAATAGTTTTAAATAATGTTTATCTTTCAGACATTTACATTTTTCATTTTCATCCCAGATGAGATGGCTGCTTTTAAAGTGTGAGCAAAATCATAGCATCATCAAAAGCAGGGACACTGAGAAAATACTTTGAAAATCAATATTTTATGGRCATGGGTACAATAGACATCTAAAAAAAGCTCAGATGCTTAGAGTGGAAGAACTAGAAAATGTTGTTTTTAAATTTCAAAATGTAGTTTTCTTTTTATTATTAGAATATAAGAAAATGGGGAAATATTTTAAGACCTTTTTTTTTTTTTACATTTACCTGCTTTTCCTCATTCTTGTAAGTTAAAAAAAAATCTAACAATCTTCGAGCAGTTGTTATATTCCACCACCTCTGCTCTGGTTTGGCACCAAGCAAAATTTCACTCGTAAATTCTTTGCTCCCTTTCTCCATGAGCTATTCCCTCGTCCCCTGAATCCATGAGCAGGAGAGGGATGCTGGCACTAAGGAATGCCTCTTTACTGTTCTGATGAGGACAGCAAAGATTTGTAATTTAACAGAACCCCATCACATAGCATTTTATGCAACCCTTCACCATTAGCATGTAAAACCTTTTGGGAAGAATATCTTTCCCACAAAATGAGGAGCACCCCATGCAATCACATATTTGTGCATGGACATGGAGATGAGGGGATGTTTAAATGCTTCATTCACAGAATAASARAATCATAAAATCTTTAATGTTGGAAAARGCCACCCAGATCACCGAGWCCAACCTTTGACCAAACACCATCATGCCAACYAAACCACAGCACTGATTGCCACGTCCAGCTGTTTCTTGAGCAYTTCCAGGGATGGTGATTCCACCAACTCCCTGGGCTGCCTGTTCCAAAGTTTAAATCCCTTTCAGTGAAAAAACCCTTCCTGATGTCCAACCTGGACCTCCCCTGGYRGAGCTTGAGTCTGTATCCTCTTGTCTTGCCAGTTATTGAAAATTTGCGTTATTGAAATCTGGAGCTCYGAAATTTAGAGAACTATGGAGACTTAGGAAGAACTTGCCACTCCCCTTTCCACACCCCCAAAATGCACTGGATTCCACAGAAATAAAGAACAGGTTTACATACCCTGCTGCTGTCCTTCCTGGGGCCCCAGCCTTGCTTTTTAAAGAGASCGACCTGAAAGGAGAATTTCAGTCTCAGAAGTGGTTTTGTGCAGAACTCAGCAGCATGCTCACTCTCCTCAGCTGCCTCCAGTGCTTCTGTCTGACTCAGTAAAACTGAGTCAAAAAGGGGACAGCAAATGTCAGTGGGAGGGAACAAAAGGAACTGTGTGTGCTTAGGAAAACGAGCAGCGGGTCTAAGTGGTCCTCAGTTGTCAGCCATAGGTTTGGAGGTCTGGGAGGACCCTAGAGAGTACCAGTCTGATATTATAATCAATAAGATTTAAGGAGTTAAAAGATATTTTTAATTACCTATTGCAGTGACCATTATATCCTTCTCAGAATAATTTTCCTTGGTGGGAACTCAGTCAGCCAGAGGAACTGGGTGCCCAGCACATGCACAGACTGCTCAAAATAATTCTCCAAAGATGAAGTCCTGTCAAGACTGACCAAGAACATCAGTCATTTAGATGTTTGGGATGTGGTCAGTGGATAAAAAGATAAAGACAGATGCAAAACTGGTAAGATTTTCATATCTGCACCAAAAAGCAGGGGGAAAAAAGGTGAATTTTTCACTAATGCTAACTTTMATGAAAACATCCAGTACATAGCTGRTAGWCTTTTCTCCCTCTGTACCTCAAAATATTAGGCAATGAAGAGACAAACATTATCATAATTGTCCCTTATTATTGTTTTCTAAGGTGAGATGAGTTTGTGTATAAAATTACAGATTTAACTTATAATTTCATATACACATTGCTTTCATCATCAGTTTACAACTCTCCTTGTGACTGTTTTGAAAGTGTATTTAAGCCAACTTCTTTATGTGTMTATCCAGAGTCCAGCCAAGTGAACAGAGACTGTTTCATATTCATCTGACCCTGAGCTACTCTTCCTAAATTGTCAACTCCAGGTCTTCCTGCCAGCAGCTGGCAAAGTGCAGCACTCATAAAAATATCAGTAAAGAAATCAGCTGCAGGTACAAAGCATACGGGCATGAAAAAGCCACTGGGAAGGGAAACAAAGATCAGGAGGAGTTTGGAACCTGTGGTGGGTTGGCCCTGGCTGGATGCAAGGTGCTCACCACAGCTGCAGGGGAGAGAAAAYACGATGAAAGGCTCATGGGTCAAGATAGAGACAGGGAGAGATCACTCACTGATTCTTGTCACGGGCAAAACAGACTCAGCTTGGGGAAATCTGTTTCATTTATTACCAATCAAATCAGAGTAGGCAAATGAGTAATTAATTCTAAATTGTAAAACAACTCAGCCCACCCCTCCCTCCTTCCTGGGCTTAACTTCACTYCCWAATTCTCTGCTACTCTCCCAAATCCTCCTCTTGCCCAGTGACACAGTGTGACAGGGAATGGGGGTTGTGGCCAGTTCACCACACATTGTTTCTGCTGCTCCTTTCTTCTCAGGGAGGACTCCTTAGACTYTTCCCCKGCTTCAGCATGGGGTTGCTCTCATGGGAACCAGTTCTCCACRAACTTCTCCA